ATATAACCTTTGTTCTCCTGGGAATCGCTGTCTAGTCTCACCGCTGCGTCGGTAGAGGGGCTGAGAGCCAAACCCAGGTTTGCAATAAAGACTCTTTGTTTATTGCATTGGAGGAGGCTCCCTGGTGGTTGATTCTTGGGGACCCCGAACTCTGGGCATAACAGATAGTTTGGCTCAAATAAACTCACAAAAATTCTTTACAGGTTTCAATGTTTTTTTACGTTAACACTCTGTTAACTTCTATTTAAAAAGCCTACTGAGATCTTGATTTGGATTGAATTTAATATATAAATCAGTTTGGGGAGAATCAACATTTTAATAGTTACGAGTTGGATCCATGAACTTTAATTTCTCTCAACAACATTTTATTGTTTTTGATATTTGGATCTTGAAGAGTTTTTGTCACATTTATCTCTAAATATTCCATATTTTCAATGCTATTACAACTGGTACTATATTTCAATTTCCATTTTCAATTGTTTGTATAATATATGGGATAGAGAGTTCACTAGTTTAATTACTTTTTTATAGAATCCATTGAATTTTCTATATAGACAATCATTTCATCCTCAAATAGACACTTTTATTTTTTTCTTTTCAATCTAAATACATTTTATTTCTTTTACTTGCCTGATTGCACTGGATAGAACTCTAGCACAATATTGAATAGGAGTGGCAACAGTGGACACCATGATCTTAGAGGAAAAAATTCAGTCATTCACCATTAAGTATGATATCAGCTGGAGTTCTTTTGTAAATAAATGTTCTTTATTGAGTTGAAAAAGTTTCCTCATAGTCTCAGTTTGCTGAAAAATTTTACCAGGCATGGATGTTGAATTTTGTCAAATCCTTTTTATTTTGATATCCTTATATAATATTTCCTAGGTATGTTAATGTGGTGAAATACATTGATTTAATGTTGAATGTTAAAACTAGTTTTTATTCCTATGATAAACTCCATTTGGTGATTTTTTAAAAAATTGATTTTAGAGAGAAAGGGAGAGGGAGAGAGAGATAGAAACATCAATGATGAGGGAGAATCATTGATTGGCTGCCTCCTGCATGCCCTGCACTGGGGATCAAGCCCACAACCTGGGCATGTGCCCTTGACTGGAATCAAACCTGGGACTCTTCAGTCCACATGATGATATTCTATCCACTGAGCCAAACCAGGTAGGGCTCCATTTAGTCATTTATTCCTATGATAAAGTTAATATTATACTTTAC